AATTGTAAGTCCTCCTCGAGAACATCTTTTTTCTTAGCATGAGCAGTTCTCGCATTGAGTTCTGCCTCGATATCCCCTTCAACATCAACAAAATCGAAGTCATCTATACTGGACTTGCCGAATGGATTGTCTGGAGAATTGGTCTGGCTACTTCGATATTCTGGCTCAGCAATGGTATAGTTCTCTTCTTCAGGGCCTAGCCAAGAGGAGTCCATGTCTGCTTGCTCCATTGCACGTTGCTGAACCAGAGAAATATTATTTTCCAGTTGTGTAAGGTGATCGTCGTACTCGTCCAGTGTTTCTTTGCAAATTTTCACTAAAACCTCTGCCTTCATCGTATACGTGGAATCTTTTCCATTGTATTGAACGCAGTTCTCTAGAATTTGTTCAACATCTCGGACAAATTCATGACGGCTGTGGTATTTATGTGCAGACACTTTTTTAGAAATAGCTTCGAGATCCATAGGTCTTTTAATTACATTGTAGTAATCTTTGACCAATTTTTTGTTCACCGGCCTGAGGAAAGGCCAGGCTTCAGCCATGGTTTTCAGTTTACTATTGACGACATTGTCAAGAATAAATGTAAGCGCCACCTGGTCATTATCATCTAGCAGGGGATTTATCGCTTTTTCCAGCCTCATTAGTCTGTCTTCCTTCTCTCCAAGTCTTTCTACACACATATCGAGCATCCTTTTCGCAGCAACTGTCAGAGAACTCTTTGAACCATTATATAAATTCGAATTTTCGACAATTTGATTGACATCAGCCAAAAATTCTTCTCTGCTCTGATATTTTTTCTGTCGAAGATTCTCTCTGATGGTCTGAAGGTCCATGGGACGCTGGATGATTTTATAGTAATCTGGGACAGCTTTTGCACTGACTGGGAATAAGAATGGTTGAACATCAGGGAGATCACGCATTTCGTTGAGAATGCTCTCAAGAATCGTTGACATCACGACAACTGGATCAGTTCTGCGTCTGTTAGCCGGTCTTTGATGTTTCTTGAGGTAGTCACAGTGATCGTCACCGGTGGCTCTTCGTCGTTTTTTCGCACTGACTGCTTCTTTAGGAACTTTCAGGAGAAGAGTGCGTCTCTTCATCTCTTCGGCGTGCTGGAATTCATGAATGTGAAAAATCATGTATAATCCTATCCTATTCTAATC